TAGAAAAAGCAAATTATATTCTTAAATATCTGAATAACATAACGAGAGGGTCTGATTGCAACACAGCTTTGAATTTATACAAAAGTTTGGTCCGATCTGTAGCAGATTATGGCTGTTTTATATATGCTCCTAATTTAGAAAGATTAAAATTAAAATTAGAAAGAGGACAATTTTTAGGATTAAGAACAGCCCTTGGTTACCGAAATAGTACTCCGACAAATGTAATAATCGCGGAAGCAAAAGTAGAACTACTAAGTGAAAGAGCCTTGATGTTGGCAAAAAACTTTTGCCTGAAAGTCAAAAAATATGGAAATGAAGAAATTAAAAAAAGTTTAGAAAACTTGTCGAGAGCAGAAGCTAAAGAACGATTGAGATTTCCACAAAAGAAGAAAACTACGCTTACAATGGCATGGGACGAAATTAAAAAATATAGCAACGAAATAGGAGAAGAAAAAAAAACTTACGAACTATGGGAAACGAATTACGATATACTAACTGAAGAAATTGAAACGGATTTAGAAGTGGAAGAAATCTACAAGAATAAAGCGAAAATAAAGGAAAAAAGAAAAATCGAAGAGATGAAATACAAAAAAGAAGACTATGAGTTGATAGATGAATTTAAGGACAAATATAACCAGAAGAACATCAAATTCATATACACGGATGGATCAAGGATCGAGGGTAATCCAAGTGTTGGAGCAGGCATAGTGATAGAAGAGGAAGAAGATGCATATTATGCAAGTTTACCAAAAAACTCGTCAGTATATACAGCAGAAGCATATGCAATAAATGCAGCTTTAAGGAAAATAGAGGACAAAGTAGAGAGGGAAAATAAAGAAGAAGAGGAAATGATTATAATATTATCAGATAATCAAGGAGTAATAAAAGCAATTAAAAACAATAGATTAGACGTGTACAAAAATAAATATATATTAGATATTAGAAGGAGACACCACAAAATAAAAACAAGATATAATAAGAGAATAATCTATGCATGGATACCGTCTCACAAAGGATTCACAGGAAATGAAATGGCGGATAAACTAGCAAAAACAGGAACAGAAGAAGACAATAATAAGAATATCGAAGTACCTATACAAGATTATATGACAATATTTAAGGACGAGGCAAAAAGGAGAACACAAGAAAAAATAAAAAATGAAGCAAGTTATAAGGGAAGAGACTACTTTAGAAGATATTATGATGAAGAAAAGAAGAAACCATGGTTTCATAAAATAAGAGCGGAAAGATATTTCTACACATGGATGAACAGAATACGAGCAAATCATTATAATTTGAACGAGTCTTTAGCTAGAAAGGAATACATAGCGACACCTGACTGTGAATGTGGAAACTACGTAGAGGATATAAATCACGTGGTATGGGAGTGCAGAAAATATGATGACCAGAGAGAAAGACTGAACGAGGAGCTCGAGATCAGGCATCTTAGAGGCTCGGAAGACATTTTTGAGATAATCAGGAGAGAGGATTGGATGAAGATTTCAGTGATATTCAAATTCATTAAAAAGTTAAACAGGATCATTTAAAGTGAAAGAAGGAATAGAGCAACAACTAAATACGCTATATAGCCCTAAGGTGGGGCTGAAGGCGTCTATAACTCCAACCGGAGTTTACAACCTCAAAAAAAAAAAAAAAAAAAAACAATACATAATATTGGATTTTAAGATACACGCGTTCAATGAACATCTACGTCAGTAACAGAATTGATTTTGGCATTGTATAATACATGCATGCATATACCTATATACTATATATATATATTTGAACATGTGGCGTGATTAGACTTTTTCGTCGTCGTTTATCGTCTATTTTGAAAAAAAGTTTGTATTTATCTAAAGAGGATTTGAGCCGCTCTGCTAAAATGGTTCGAGTCTCCGCTAAAGTGATTTGAGTCCTTGCTAAAGTGCGGTACGAGTCTCCGCCAAGTGAGCTGGAATTTGTTAATACCGTTTTTCAAATATCTTTATTAATTTAAATGTATCAAGTATCAAGAAAAATACGCAACTTTGAGGTACTTTTAAAGAATGGTAATTTAAGAAGAAAAAACATTTTGTATAATTATCATTACTTGCAAGCTTACAAGTAAAATTTATTAATAAAAAATATCTTGCCCAAAAAGCCCAATTAAAAAAATTTGTTAATGCAGTTTAAACTTGTATAATTGATTTTTATTCGAGATAATTCCATTTCTTATAGTTTTGTGTCAGAACTCAAAAAAAGGCAATATGACAAAGATATTAGGAGAGGGACAAAGAGAAGACTGGACGAGAAAGTGAGAAGAGACAGCAGGAGAGAGAGAAAAAACAGAGTGAGGAATGCAAGGAAATGGACAATAATAGAATGAGATAAAACAAAATCTGTTATGAATATGACATTGATTGATGATGTAAAAAAATATATAAATTTATTATATATTACTTAATTGTACATGCATGATATTTCATATATGGAAACAAAAGTCCGTGTAACCCATTGGGGCCAGTCAAGCAGTCAATAAAAACAACCAACTAACTAACTATATTGTTCGTATCACTCTCTTCTGTGGACTGTAACCAAATTTTCTCGATGCTTCCAAGAAGTCTTATTTTAATACTCAAACAATGTCCATAGCCGTCAAGAGCTGCTTCAATTGAGAAAATCTTATTCCTGCCGCATCAGTCGCGGTTATGGAAGTGGCATTAATGTTCGGTGTCTTCGTCCGTTCGGGCTCCGACTGAATACTCGCTTCGTAGTGACATTTGTCACATTTGAAAAAAAATTCCGTGAGTAATCCGCGACGACGATGATTGACGAGATTCCAGTACTTGAATTGACACGCGATTCCACGCGAGTGCGTGTTAAATGTCCTATGAATCTCGCTCCACATGAAAGAGAAATTTACAATGGAACGACGCGTAGGTACATCTTCTTGAGTACTACATGTGTTCGTAGAGCAGGTATTATTAATACGGATGTCCTCCTTGGCCTCAGAATGTCCACGGCTTCGATTATGCGTGCTTTCTTTCGCATGGCCCTCTGTTTTTTCCACCTTATCTATATTAATGAAAACCAAGTCCTTGTTGTCCTCGCAATATTCAGTGGTTTCATAACATCCGCCTTCTTTCTCATATCTCTCTGTTTCATTTACCTTACCTACATAAGCCAAAACTAAACTTTTATCGTCCTCAAGATATTCAATATTTCCACTGCAAACGCCTTCCTCCGTGTACGTTTCACGTTGTCCTTCATTCGTATCCGTTGGTTCTTCCTTTATTTGGTGACAATGTATCATTTCAGTATTGATCTCACACATCGTTACATTGGATAAAAGTTTAACGGAGTTTAGAGGATCGGTAGATTCCGTATTCTCAGTGTCACGATCGACTTGCATGCGTTGTGCCATCTGTTTCAGCATCCTTCGCCTAGAACCAGACGTGAAATGTAAATAAATATTAAAATTACATCGTTATATAGTTGGAATATTTCAAGAATATTTCAAATAGATTTCTAAATGAAGTAAAAAGCTAAGAACAACAAGGAATATTTTGAAACAGATTTCTAAATACAAGGGTTGTGGAACTTTCCAGGCATCGCGTCACTAACTGGATTTTGTGTAATGCTTTCTTCCGAGAGAGCCTATGCATATGTGGAGGCAGTTTCTTTGCGCTATATTTTGGCATTAAAAAATTATATATATATATATAGACGTAGGAAAAATAATAAAACGTTTATTACGCAAAGAATAGCGTACGTTCGGGTACTTTTCAACAACGGAACACAGCCATATCGTGTGACACAGTGTCAACTACTACTACTGTCGCTAC